GTTTGTACTGACCCTGGGATTTTCTTTCCATCCAAACAAGTGTCCTAGTCCGCCCTGCTCTCGACCTTTGCAGAAGTAGTGGACCGGTAAGACTTTGAAGTGCAAGGTGGTTGGTCAGCGTTGACCTCAGGATGTCCAGTTGATTGCCTGTCCTTGAATCAAAAAGAAGGAAGGGGTACATAAATCAGATTGTCCCATTTCTATCTCCTGTAAAATACAGCGTAGCGTAGCAAATCTTCTTCTTCCATGGTGGTACCCCCTTAGGAGCATCTCTCTGTTAAATAGCTAAAGACAAACAACAACATAGTGAACATCATAGTACTTGTACTGCTTCTTCTTCAGTAACTTTTGTATATTTTCACTGTTATATGTAGAGTTTATACCTAATAGTATGCTTTTATTGCCACAGTGATAAATTTCTGACCTAGAAAGAAGGAAAGGATGAATTACTTTCACATGTGCTACTGTCTTGTTAAATTTACTAGGCTCCCTGTAAGTACTAATGGCCCAGTACATTGGAACTCACATCTTTACTACTTACAAAAAAAAACTGTCAGCTGCCTCAACTAACCATTTCTGAGGCAGGGTCAAGAATCAAGTTCTTGTACAGTAATATCTATTTTGAGAGGAGAGTTACAGTAGACAACAAGGAGAGTCTGCATTGTATTTCACCATTAATCGTAGCTGGTTGCTTTAATTGTCAGGAAATTCTTAGTGAAGCATAATTGGCCACTTAAGTTCCACATACACTATTTCTTGTCTTGAATTCATCATTAAGCATAATTGAAAAAATGAGCTTCCAAGGTCTGCAAAGTTTTGCCAGATACCCCATGAATACAAAAGAACATTCCAAAGAAATTGCTTCCAACGTCTATACAAGAGCAACGTTTAATATTGAAACGTACTGTTTCGCAATGCCAGCCTGCCTGAATTTACTGTTTAAGTGTTGTCTGCCCTCCTAAATCTACCAGTAAGTGTTGCCAGGATCCCCCCATGCAGACCCACAGCTGGCAGACCCACCATTAAAGAATCTGGGTCACTGGGTTTGTATTTATTACTGTTCTGCTACTCTGTCAGATGCTATAAAAGTCAAGGAGTCATCTGGGTTACCTTATGACTTCTGGGTGTAAATCTCCAATTGAAATGCCTTTGGTTTGATAGTTTCCTGACAACTTGTCTAAAGTACTGAAGAAGTAGTTAACAGTATTTAATGTTGCAGGCTTAGGTTTTGGTCATATGTGTACTGGACCTTGCTAACAATGGCAGGGCCGACAGCCTGTAAGAAATCAGGCATTTTCCTGTGCAAATGTAGTGTGGAAAATCAACACCAGCAGCCTGACCCTGCCCACATACATCTGCTTGCCCACACCAATTAACCATCTAATAGACAGCATTGCTACACATGTGCCACTGACACTCAGGTCCCAAGGTAGGAAATCCTATAGCCTTGTTGGCAGCCCTGTGCTTTTAGCGAATGTTTTACCAGTCCAGAGTTCTTGCGGTTTTGTGATGTGCGAACACGGGTGCGGACGGTGATATTTTCTTTGTCGCTTCCAAGTTTACGGGTATATCCCAGATTTATGCTGTGATGAGGGATTTCCTCTCCAAATGAACGCCCTTGGAAGCGAGTTACGAGATGATAAAATGGAGGCTGTAAAAAGCCTGCGTCCGACCACATGGGGATTCTGCGGGACATTCCACAAGCCTGTGAGCTGCCCTGTGGTAGCCATTTCCCCATCCCTTACCCTTACTTTCCTCCCATCCTCTCAGCCTCTAGTTCCCACCAATACCAACCTGGTGACTCAATTATGCTTGGGGAGGGGGACATTTTTGTTATTAAGATGTTGACAACGGGATAAGTCACAAGCAGTGTAGTGACAGAAAGGGGTAGGGGATCTGACCAGGGCTCCCTCCTAGTGCTCCCATGTCAGCTATATTTCCCTTTCCTACCAGGCAGAGGGCACACTGCCCTTTGAGCAGGGGCACAGGGATCTTCCCCCAGCCAAGTCGGCTGTCCCCGTCCCGCTGTGAAGACCCTGTTCTTCACTTGAAGAGCGGATTCCTTGTCCACTATCCTAGGGAGAGGGGATGGTCCGGTGTCACTATGTAGGACAACATCCTCCAAACTGACCCTTTACATCCTGCCTGTGATGTAGGATTGGTTTTCTCAGAACTGGGCAGTAGCGTGCTGTGCCACATATTTCTGATATTAGGCCATACTAATTTAATTTGTTGGTTCTCGGATTTTGTATGAAATATGAAATGACAGAGCAAAAAATAATTAGCTAAAAAGCTAAAAAGCTAATATAGAAGCCATGAAGTCAACGTACTGGGCTGGTTTACAACAATGAAGTTTGAAAAAACTGCATTGGTACTAGTAGATGGAAATAACTGTAACAAAATAAGGAAAACAGGGACTTTCTCTAACTGTTGTGCCCAAAATATGAGCATTTTGAAGCAGGCGAATCCGAGAAGCGATAATTCATTAAAGTGGTATGGCCTTACCCTTACATGTATATAATGTATTAGTAAGGGTTGAGGAAACATTGAGAATGTTACTTTTACAACCAGCTTATGTCTTTCAACACTGTTTGCCAAAGGCATGTTTGATTTGCAACATTTGATATGACACTTCATCAGTTGGACCCACAATACAAATATGAACCACATATTTCAACTTGTCCTGAGATAAAGCAGAGAACCTGCCTTCTTAAATTACACATTTTGGAAGAACAGATGAAGTGGCTTGAGTGTCCATGGTTTGGTCTGTTTGTTCTGGTATCTTTTTTTTGTGTGCCAGTCCAACTTCAGGTAGCAAATGGTAACTGCCTGACAAATAGATAATATGACCTTGCCAACTTGATACTGTCTTTGCAAGCCACCAAAAGATCTGCTTGGAGATTACTAACTAAGGACTAGGGACACCATGATTATCCTGTGTAGCATTTGTTCTGCATTGTCAGGCCTGCCTTAGTACCTCCTTTCATGTCATGACCCTCTTTCTGCACCTGTTAATGTCTGCTAGGCTTTTTGTTTTGCATGTCTGTGACTGAATGACCAACACAGAAACACACTGGCCTCTATCTAACCTCTAGTACTCCACAGGTGTCACTGTGTGCAAAGATGGTTCTGATATACCAGCATGTTAGCACAGTACCTCAACTTCCCAGATGTTTCACATGCAGTTTACATGTGACTTGTGCAAAAGCTGATACCAAAAGCTGTATGACGCTGGGTTAAAAATCATGCAAAAGCTGTATAAACCACTAATTAGCTACAATCTCACATGGCTTATGATCTATATTGCATAACCACAATGTTATTACATGAACATCTGCACATACATTGTATTGCATGGCTTTTGCATGGCTTTTGCATGCATTTTATCGAGAAATGCATGTGGCTTTTGATTGCATTTTGCACTTTTGATCATATGTGTAGGTGGGAAGTTGTTCGAGATTTGTACTGTATCTATGCACAGACAATACAGTGTCTTTCCAATGCCAGCCTACAAACACATAGAATATATGATCTGTTTTCAAGGCTACCTTGTGAGCTTCAACAACATTCTTGCTGACAACTGGTTTCACCACAGCAAAAAGTACAAAGCTGACCTGGTGTAATCTCAGAAGGGAGAAAACAGCTTGAGGCAGATTTACAAGAAATCCAGGAAGTTGTGAATCAACACCTGGTCACCGCAGTCGCTAATTTTCACTCTCTTTGAAGAGGGGGAGGTGATTTTGCACCCTGTGTGAAGTCTGCTTGTTTGGGGAATGTTTAGTTTCTTAGCAGTCTGAGGCGGTAACAGTTGAGACGAGTTCAAGGCAGGTTCTTACAGGGAAGGTCGGAAGACGTCTCCGCTGGGTACTATTTCTTCTAATCCATGAAATCTGCAGGCAACTTTGGTTGAAAACACCTGATGGAATCGTTAATTCTTTCTTCATCAGAGGACAAGTCCTGTTTTGTTCACACATAGTAACAGTACTGTATCTAGTATCATTGGAGGAATGCTACGCTTGAACCATGCTCAACAGGACAGTATATAGCATCTGCTTCAGAAAAGACATTAAACTGTTACTGTACATATCCAAGCCAACTATCGTAACTACTGTATATTTAATGCCAAGGGTTTTGCAACTGTATAGCTGTTTGCTGAGATTTGTTCCTTTTGAAAATTATGAATGTTTTGAATTAATGTGCTCTGAAAATTAGCATTCAAATTATTATTCAGATGTTTGATTGTCTGCTTATAAAGTTCTTTACATTACATTACTAAAAATCATAGCAGCCATTTGTATATTAACATTCAGTCCAGACTTTCCATCAAAAGCTTCTGTCAAAGTTTCTCTTTTCCCTATTATGTGGCTACCAGATGGTAAGAGAACTATTGACAGAGGACTTAAAAACAGTCAGGAAGATCAGAGGAGAGTAATTACAAGTTTAATAACATTCCCTTTGGGGTCCCTCACATGTCTAATTTGGGACGTTCCACCGTCTCAGTGGGGCCGCAGCCCTGCGGTGTGCGGTACCACTCCCCTCTCCACAGTCGGATGAAAACACATCATTAAAATCTACCCACTGGCCTTCAGTCTGTGGGATTCTTACATGTAAATCTTTTGTAAACATGATCCTACTGTTTGATAAAAGACAGCACGCAGGGAAACAACTGGATTGGGCTTGACAGAGTTGCTAACTGGTTAGGATTACAAATCTGTGTTCTAGCCAGGACAAAAAGTTTGCACAATCATTCATCTTTGACAGACAAAAATCAGCATGTAAAGATATGGAAAAAGCTTCATCTACCCACAAAATTTGCCCCTCAAAATGCAGGAAATAGCGCTTCAGAGGGATAAGATTTCAAAATTTTCCTGGAGTAGCTCAATATGATGTTACATGTACGTCAGACAAATTTGAGATGATGCGAAAAAATTTCAGGTTGGCTAAAACACTGATTGCACTTTGAGTCTAACAATCTGACATATATTTGTTACTCTTGACAGGACTGTGACATGCGAGTTTTCCCAACAGAGCCATGTGGGCTCCAGCCAATCAGAGACCAGACCTGGGATAAGTACATGTCCCAGCATGCATTGCTGCCACCCTGCCAGAGAGGAGATGAGCCAGGTAAGACATTTATCATCACACTTCATTACCTTTGCAACGAAGGTCATGTTATCTGTGCATCTGTGTGTTTGCGTGTGTGTGCATGTCAACATGATAACTTGAGAGAAATTAGATGGATGGTAATTTTGCATGGTAGATACATGTAGCTCTTGTGCTAGGAAAGAAATACTAGGAGATTGGGCCCCCATGCAGCTTGTTCTGGAACTGCCAAGGCATTTATTTAAAAGTGTTTGAAGGAGGATACCTGAAGAACTGGTTCACAGATGGTCATGATTACAAGTGTTAAATAAAACTAAATATTGACCTTTTGTAAAGCTTAGCTCTAACCTGCTCTTGAGGGTTCAGAATTGTAAGCTTTCACACTTTCTGCTTGGACTTTAAAACCAAGTCTCAAGGGACCAATTAGTGAATATAAGCTTCAGAGATTTTTCAGGAACTTGAATAACTAGCACATTAAGCTAAACGTGTGCTCCTCCTCAACAAATACTCTGCAGTTCATACATTGCAGTTACCATTAGTGTAATTAGTCCTTATTATGAAAACAGGTGTCATCTGTGAAAGACAACAATCTCTTGAAACCTGGGTATGATACTGATGGATGGCATCTGTTGACCTGTAGGCTGTATCAGGGCAGGAGAATGCAATGCCTTAAGAAAATGTGATAAACGACATCATAAAAGTCATTGACAGAATGAGACCCAAAGGCAATTATTTCGGATATTTGAGAAGTGGTATGCAGGAAGTCACTGGAGTATAGTTGGAGAAAAAATATTTCTTTTTCTTTGCATTCCCTTCTGTCTGTTTGTTATAGAACTTCTAATTTAAAGGCATCCGATGAAATTTCAGGGCAGAAAAACAAAAATATTCTAGATGAAGAAATCTGTCTGATATTGACATTTACTGCCATTTCTTAGCACATTTTCGTCATCATTTCATACTTGAAGTGTTTCAAATAGCCCCAAAACCAGCTATGTGAGGCGTCCTTAAATTGCCTTGAAATTGCATTATTGGATGCTTTTAATCCTCTTGCTTCTCCCCCAGTTGTGGAGGAAGTGACTCTCTCATATCCTACTATTCTAGTGGTCGACACTGATAATAATAGATGAATTTCATGTCCAAATGCAGACAAGAGATGTCAGCTATTTGTCCTTGATCTCTGATATTAAGTTGAAAGCCACAGGGAATCATCGCTATTTGCAAATTAGGAGCTCAAAGTCCTTCCAGGGTCTGACTCATCAGGAACTAAAATCTGCTGTTACCAAACATCTTTATCAAGTGCTACTCTGTTGAGACAGTCATTAGCGAATATAAAACAGCATTTTCAGAATTCTCCTTTTAGTAGCGAGCGGGCGTCCAGATTCCGACAAAGATCGTTATCCCGAATCGTTACAACAGGATATTAATTAGACGTGTAGTTAAGATAAGGGAACATGTGTTCACAGACCTATGACCTGATTTACACGCAGGCAAAAACCTGATGGGGTGAAAACTGCGTTTGAACACGATAGTGCGATAGTACTGCGTACGTCAAATCTTTTCTGTGTGTAAATCAGCCTAGTTGGACTGTAGGTGCATTCAGATTGTACATTACATTGAGGGCTGGCATATGATCTGAACACACGTTCTTGATGCACATGTACATGTACTGGTATGTCAAAGCAGGCCAAATTACACAGAAAATCTAACGTATGCTCGCATAGTTTTTGTCATTTTCCCACTTATGAATCGGGCAGGTATTGTATGCACAAAACAGTTATACATTGTATGTACTCTTGTAACTGTACTCCTTTAGTTGACCAAAGTATGTCTATTTGGCCAATCTCTAATCTTTCCTGCTGCTTCTGAAGCCTGGTAGAGGCTACTGGAAAGGGTGTTCCATATATCACAAATCATAGAGCTTAATTAACCCAACAGTAAATGCATCAACATGCTCACCAACAAGTTCAAAGCACTGCTGCGGCCTCCGTCATAAATCCTCATATCCCACAAAGAAACAGGGTGCGGTTTGGAACAAACAGTTAGGCCACAGCAAGTAAATTTTCTGGATGACATCCACTGCAGACTCTAAATCTAGTACGACAGGGTGAAAAAAAACAAGGAGCGCCAAAAAAACAAGATTCCTACATTTTCAAATTTTGACATCATAAATCTTGTTAAACAAGAAATGATACCTATATTGTGCTAAGTTTGCTGCCAGCTATGAAAACATCCATTTGTCACTGAAACTTTGAAAAATAAAAGTTTTCAATCATTTAGCAAATATTTTTGATTCAGTGGGAACATATAAAAGGAATAAAATCACTGCATCAAAGTAAAAGACAAAACAATAAATCAGAGCCTTGTCTTGTCTTGTCTCCCCTCTTCATATTTATCTGCCATCCACGTTCCGGCATGACAAGACATGCCATTTTGCCCATTTTCGGCATGTTGACCACTGGTAGAGGGCAACAAAATTTCCTCTTTTTTTTTCCAACATCAGGTATAAATCAATGATGTCATCCATAAAAATTACTTTCCATGGCCTTACGCAAACTCACACTCTTCTAAAGCGGCCCACATGCGGATTGCTGCTTCCGGCGGACGTTGCTTTTTATCTTTTTTTCCTTCTCTATAGTTAAACTGATCTCACAGATGTGAACCTGCGAATAACGTATTCTCACACTGACAGTTCAAACGTTAAACAAGTGGCACAGATACTGGTAAAGCTGATAAATGTTAGGTGCACTGTCGACACTTGTACCTAATTAGCTGGATGCTGTAAGACCAGTCCTTTTTGTAACACCTGTGACATTTTGGACAAAGTGGACGACTCTTCTCTTGAAAGAGAGCCTTGATTACAGGATCACCTTGATCTGGGAGCTGGTAAGTCTCAAGACTTGGCAATCCTTCAAATAAACAAAGAGGGGACTCTATATAGTGTACTTCAAGATTCTTTGAAATGGAAGTTAGAACAGAACAGTACATGTACAATGTAGTCACTAAGAGCTATAGAAAATCTGTATATACATTATATTTGACAAGTTGTGGCAAGGGAGAGAAAGATAAAAGGGAAATTTAGCACTCGACATAATTTTACATCAGGCAAATTTGAGATGATGGAAAAAATATTACAAGCTAGCAAGAACTGAAGGTACATTTGTTGTGTCAATAAAGTTCTCATGTAGAAATGTGTTACCATTTTGTAGTACAAGATGTTTTGTGTTTAGTGGGGAGTTAGGTGGTACATGTACCTGTCACCTGTCACAAGTTTGACAGGCAAGGTGGGGAGGGGGGCTGTCTCTAAAGGACTGTCTCACACCCAAGGAACCACTGATGCTGGAAACAACATGTCAGACAAGAAAAGATCAAAGCTTGAAGGAGTTTGGATCTGTGACACTGAGGTCCGACAACTTAATACCAGCCTCTGCCCCTTGCCAATCTTCATTTTCTCATAGCAGCAGGGAACCCTGGCATCAGATGTGTATAACTAATAACAAGTTAATATGTGGAACTAAATATTCTACCATACATTCGGTACAAGTCCTCACATCTGCAGAAAAAAAAGCAGGATGCCTTGCTGTTAGTTTGCAGCTACGTGTACATGTACGTATCTGAACTATATAATAATAATTATACACTGTTTATAAGAAATATGACAAGTTAGGTATTAACACTGGGTTACAAGTCCAGATCCTCACATCTGCAGAAAAAAAGCAGGGTGTTTTGCTTTTTAGTTTGCAGCTACGTGTACGTGTATGTACTCCGAAGTATATTTATATAATTGTACACTGTTTATGAGAAATATGACAAGTTAAGTGTTAACACTGGGTTTGAACCCCTCCTCACCCCCACCATGAAGGGAAGAGAAAAACAAGAGAAGTGTGGATGGACATATTCATGCTGCAGCTGTGGGGATGAAACGCCCCTCTGTCTGTCAATAAAACACAGATTTACGACGCACACTGTTTATCACGGTCAAGATTCAAACTATAAAATCCTACGGGAAGCATTTAAACAAGTTCAGGTAGGGGATGATGCTAGGGGAAATTTTAAATTCTTTAGAACACAGAAAAATTCCATGTTTCTGTGGTCTTACCTTGTAACAGAGCTAGAGAGACTTCTTGGTTTCTGCTCATGAAGACAGGAATGTCCTTGACAGTGTTGTTCAAAGCTACAACGTGTAACGACTGCACTTGAAAAGTGAATTAGTTACCATCGTGTATTTGGTGATATCCGCTTCTCTGTTTCTATACCAACATCATTACGGCGATGTGCTGAAAGCTAAGACCTGAGAAGTAGCTTGAACTTCCTACAAAGGAGGTCTCATCTGTCAGCAACAGTTCTCAGCACAAGACAAGGGCTCCAATGTAGCTACCATGTTAGTTTACTTCCGTTGTAAAGTTTCCTCCTTCAGAGCCCATTAGGAACCATTATTTCTTGAGATCTACAACCACAGTGTGGGCAAGCTTGCAGGAGGAAGACTTGGCTCATTGAGGTATGCACTGTTTGGTCAGGTTTTCTGCCTCGTAAAATCTTTCATCTTGTAGATAGTGTGTCGCGATGCAAGTTAATCTCGTACTCTTGACACTTGTGTAAGACATGTAACCCCAAACATTGCAGTTTAGATGGAGTTTGATGCTCAAGACTAGCCTGGATGCCAGACCCAAAGCACACTGGACCCAAAGTAAACTACTATTCAAATGCTTGGATGAAACATTTTGGAAAAGTCCTGTACTTATATAAATGACCGCTTAAAAATTTGTCTACACAAAGAAATACCAAGAAAATGCAAAAATAGTTGTTTGAAGTAATGTAAGTTCGCTTACGGTAGACATACGTGTATGGTGAAAATAAGAGACATAAACTTAAAACAGTTTGTCATTTTCGATTTTTCTGGTTTTGTTTGTTTGGCACAACCAATAAACCCCCTCATAGGCATAATACCCCAGGTTTGTACAGTAAGTACAAGCTGTGTAAGACCAGACTTTAACGTTTCCACAAGTTCACTATCAAACAGTTGA